GGGCTAATTTAATATTTTCTCTGAATGTTTTAACCTGAAAACATGTCACATCTGCTTCTTGCAACAAATGGGAAATGGAAGTGCAAATTTTGAAAAATATTTAAGTTGTCTTACTGGATTGATAAATTCTCTGTAGGTAACAGAGCAGAGCAGATCAGAGTTTATTTACATTCTATAGATCCTTCTTAGGACTAAACCAAAGGATGTAGAACATGTCAATTCATACAATATACATAAACCAGAACTTTTGACACAAGTACAAGGACGTATTTCACTTATCAATGTACATAAACTTTAGATTCTGCAATACAAGTATGAAAAATAATTTTACTGATTAATATACATAAACTTAAGTATTTTAAAAAGAAATACAAAACTTACTTTACATATAGATTATAGATATACGTAAAGCTTAAAAATTTCAGCAGGTATAAAATCATCTACAGAATAGAAAGAGTGAGTGAAGAGGTAATCTTTCAATGCAGGCTTGAATACCTTACATAAGATATTTTGACTTCCAAGGAGAGAATCTTTTTGCAGACCCTTAAATACTAGGAAAATACGTTGTGGTGTGCAAGACTTTTGATTTAATGCAAATGTTGCAGAATCTTTGTGGAAAGAAACTCAGACTGAAATGGGGTAACATATTGATGAATGGATGGCTCCTGAAATGTTGGTATCTTTGTGTAAATATTTCATGTAGCTAATTGCTTAAGAAGGTTTTATTGAGTTTAGTCACTATGGAAGCTTCAAACCATGCAGCATTTTTTAGATTGATTTGATTGAAGTGTATGTACAAGAAGAGTATCGAACATATCACCAGTCTGGGAAGAGCAATAAACTACAGTATCTTCTGCAGTTTCCTGGGGTAATACACCTTTTTGTTATGTAACTTCCCAATAAAAAAATTAAAATACTCTTGTAATCCCATGCATATTTTAAGTGGAACAGGAGATTAAATTTTATTCCTTTGAGGAAATACAGAATCAAATAATCAGTATCCCAGCTGAACACCAATATCTTGATTAAATAACCTCGAAAAGGAAATGATGTTACGAAAAAGGGGTAAGACATTTCGTAACTATACACATTGTGCTTCGTTAATATCAATAACCACAACGTTCTCACCGTACTTGTCCTCTGCGGTAGATTTTATCATTACTTAAGGTTTTATGTTGTTTTATTTTTTCCGTATTTCTTGTGTTTCTCATTGCGGAGGGAAATTTATTTTATTATATGAATGGTCACGATCTGCTGCTCCTTGCCTGTCTGCCTTGTTTTGTATAATCTGTGGTTGGTAACACAGAATACGCAACTTGAAATGGTTGGAGTCCACATCAAGGTTGAATTATTGGTGTAAGATTTAAATTGCCTAAAGTTATGACATAAGTTGAATTTTAATCTTCAGTTATGTAGCAGTTAAGCTGTTTTATATTATAGGCACGACAGATTTCAACATTTTAAGACATACTACTTATCGTAGTATGGATATTTTGAAATTGATGAAAAGACATTGGTTTTTCGCTGGAACAATGATTGCTATATTTCTTGCTGAAATTTTCCCAGAATTAGGAGCAATGGAAGGCAAGATAAATTTATTTTATTATTGATAAACGGGCGATTGGAAGCTCGTATACAGGAGAGAATTTTGGCATGCTATTTATCAGACTACATACATGGATGGCGAGGGTATATTTTTCAAGCAGTAACGTGTTTAGTTTATTACTTTGTCGTATTTTTAATTATGTGACATTGTGTATATGAATGGAATTCTTCAAAATTGCTGTAATTTTCATTGATTTTCTTATGTAAATGCAATCCATGAAACGTAGTATGTGGTAGATACGTGTTAAGGCTTCAAACGTAGTTGAATTCACTATATAATTGTGTTGTGTTTTATGTGGGGAAATCTTTTTGTATTGCTGTTATTTTTACGTTGGAAACATAGCCATATATATCTGGCTACACTTAAATAGTCAGGCATTGATTCTATGCGGTATTTGGTGATTTTTTATTTTCCACCCCAACAATAATTGTCCCATCCAGCATCTTTCCTGATGGTCAAACCTGGTGGGTCATGGGTTAATATTTTCCATATAGGGTTTGGGTCTTGAAAAATGGAACTATCTCTGTGCACATTTTTACCTAACAAGGTAAGATACAGGATAGTACTGTAAAATAGGACAAGACTGCTTTATAACATTCATAAATCATATTTCCATATCTTATTTTTATTTAATTCCATTCTTATTTATGCTGTAAGTAAAATACTGATACATGATATGTCAAAGGGATAATATATAAAATAATATTGCTTATATTTGTTCAACATAATATGAGAAAGAGGCAGGAATTTATGCTATGTGCAAGGAGTGTACAACCATAAGCAGAAAAGGGGAAACTGGCTTCCCATCTCTGTCTGCAACCGAAAGTGATGAAGTGTCCTTATGAATCATGGGGTACTCAAAACAACCTAACAGAAGTTCTTACTCCAGAAAGCATTTGATGACACCACTCTTCATCTCATCAGAGAGCAGCTACAGTTGACAGGGTGATGAGTAGAGGTAGCAAGAGCCTGAGGAACGTTTGTAAACTTTTACTGAGCTGCATGGTGCAACAACACAAGACAGCCCTGTTTGTACTTCCTACTGTGAGGACCTGAAATCTATTCAGAGAAGTTAATTAAGTTTTAAAATCTTACTTCAGTATCTTGTTTGAAATATGTGATACTGTGTTTGCCTCCTCCAGCTATTTTTGAGGCTGATCTAATAGTTGAAGATTGGAGGGGGGGATCATATAATCTTCAGTTGATAATCCCATTAAATAATCTGAGGATATGTTCTTGAAATTTTCCCCATGTCATTGCCTTTAATCTAAGTTCAACTTTTTTCCAAATTTCAGGTCCACTGAATCCAGAAGTTACTGTTAAGTATGGCGCTGTCTCACTCATCTTCCTTGTCAGTGGACTGTCAATAAAGCTTGAAGAACTTTTGAGTGCTGTCACAAATGTTAAAATACATATTTTTATCCAGTTATTTTCACAAGTATTCACCCCTATATTTATGAAGATACTGACAATATTTCTTTGGATGATTGGTGTGAATGAATGGATTTTAAAAGGGTGAGTTTCAGAAACAAGTTGAAGGTTTATATGTAATAGGATTTGAAGATTATTGTAACTTGGCCTCTGTATATGTTTCATGCCATCAGCCACTGGATCTTTCTTTTTGATTCTGACAGATTAGTTACTGTTGGTTGCATGCCACCCCCTGTGTCATCTGCTGTCATCCTTACAAGAGCTGTTGGTGGAAATGAGGCAGCTGCAATTTTTAACTCTGTGTTGGGGTGCCTTATTGGAATCGTACTTACTCCTTTCACTCTTCTGTTTTTTGTAAGTGTCTTTTATCAACATTTTTGATCATATGTTTATTTCCATTTGTCATACTCTGATGAGTGAGTTTTTTTCACAGTTTTTCAGTCTTGATAAACATACTCACCGCTGTGAGAACCTCAAGTGGTTTTTTAAAAACCAAAATTTAAGGACGCCATAATCACACTTTGTCGCAGGATTTAAAATTAAGAATTGCACATGCTTTCCAGCAGCAACAGCGTATTTATAAATATTTCTTCTGAATGTGTATTGCAATAAGTTTTAATTTTTTGGACATACCCATTATCTTGGTTTTTTAAAAACCAAAATTTAAGGAACTTGGTCTGTTATCATTGTCAGGCATACCTGAGAGTGGGAACCTGATCAAAGGGGTGTGGTGTGAGAGGGTGGTAATTTCTTTCTTTGGACTGTGAATAAAGAAACCATGATGGTGGAAAATGTCTAATTTTGTTTTATTTATTTCATAACTGTCTAATCCAGAGAGTATTCCATTTAAAATCTATTTCACCAATTAACCAAAGATATTACATCACTTTCCTAAAATCAAGCATCAGTGAGTGAATGTGCAGACTGAAGAGAGAGCATGTACATCCAAGTAGATAATTAAAAGAGGCTTAAATTGTAACTGCTATGTAACATAATGTTTTCCCAATTGTGTGATGTTACAGGGTAATATATTATCTGTTTTATATATTGGATGTTCATGATTTGAGGACTGTTTTGCAGCTGAGGGCAACAACTCTTGTCCCTGTATTGAGCACCATATTTCAACTTGCAGTCACAGTTATGGTACCTCTTGCAGTAGGACAACTGATCTGTTTTGCCACCGACTTTAAAGCATCAAGTTATCCTATCGGCATACTTGGACAAATTGCCCTTCTCTTCATAATCTTCATAACCTTCTGCCAAGCATTCCAAAACCAAGATATGCAAATGAATGCACATGATATTTTGATTACAGTTTTGCTTGGTGAGTTACAATTTTTTGCTATCATCATTGTACATTACATACTTTTTAAGTTGCAATGCTTAAAGTGTCACTTCATATAGAATATGTAATATGCTGTTTGTGCATATTTAAATCTGTAATAGTAAAGTAAAGCTGTCCCGCTACACGCCATGTAGGCGCTTGGGGCCATGCTTTACCCCTGGGAAAGGACTTTGTTACCTATTGGATAGGAGGCTGGGAGGGCTCCAGAACCAGTCTGGACGCAGAGGCTAGAGGAAAAATCCTCTGCCCGCTTCAGGGATTGAACCCTTCTCATCCAGTCTGTAGCCAGTCACTGTACTGACTGATCTATGTCAGCTCGTATTTAAATCTGTATTACTGTTAAATTGTACCACATATACTGTTTTTAAATTCTGTCAAAACACTTGCAGTATATTCAACTGGTTTAGAATGTTTTAACTTTTCAAGAATTAGTGGCTTTGTTACATCAAAAATTTTAGTATTTGTTCTCATTTGTTTATTGTTAATAGGACTACATTGCTTTCCTTTATGATAAAGGCTAATTTATACTGGGGAAGTTTAGTGGAAGATATGTGTGATTCTTTATCTGGAATTTAATTGAATATAAGGAAGTCAATATAATGTTTTAAAACTTGTGTTACTGTCTTGAGTTATAACAGTCCAGGTGTAAGGCTAATTCATAAACACATGTTTGATATATCTTTCCTCTGATAACTTCAGCAATATGTACTGTGGGGTTTAGCTTAATATCTCACATGAAATATAAATGTGTTAATTGTGTGCAGATAAGTAAAGTGTGCGCATATTCCGAGAAATATTCTTTTAACATGTTAACAGATGCTAACATTTTGTAGGATTTGCATTAATACATTGTCAAGTCTTATAGCCAGGCTTTAAGTTAAAATAATCATCCACAAACATACATAATGTTATAAGTTTTAGTTCTGTGCGGTTCTGTCTCCCTGAGCAATAATATGTTTCAGTGGTTTTGATCCTTGTGTTCATCACATGGCTGGTGTTCTGGATTTCTTCCAAGATGACCGGATTGTTTTGTCCGGAGGATGTCATCGCCATAATGTTTTGCTGCACTCATAAATCTCTAACACTTGGCAAGTAATAGCAGTCTCATATAATATAAGATAGTGTATTTGCGTCATATTGTGAATATTATAACAATTATTTATTTTAATCCGTCTTATCACAATATTTAAAATTTCTTATAATTAAGATAATAAAATATCATTGATGTTCCATATCGATTGATCGATTTACATTTCGGAACATTTACACAACATGTTTCAGTTTTTATAAAACCATCGTCAGGTGTAAAATATCTAAAAACTAAAAACTCAAATATGATTCCATTTGGTGATGTTTTCATTACGTTTGTTTTTCCATTTTTGGGCGAAGGTGTTGTTTTTTCTTAAATTTTATTAGATGTACATATCGGTCAAAGATGTAGGAGTGATTGTTCTGATATGTCCAGAAGTACTAGTGTCTTCGATTAGGTGTGGGTCAGTACTGACTCCTACATCTTTGACCGATATGTACATCCAATAAAATTTAAGAAAAAACAACACCTTCGCCCAAAAATGGAAAAACAAACGTAATGAAAACATCACCAAATGGAATCATATTTGAGTTTTAAGTTTTTAGATATTTTACACCTGATGATGGTTTTATAAAAACTGAAACATGTTGTGTAAATGTTCCAAAATGTAAATTGATCAATCGATATGGAACATCAATGATATTTTATTATCTTAATTATAAGAAATTTTAAATATTGTGATAAGACGGATTAAAATAAATAATTCTCATATAATATGTGAAATTTGTGACGTGGGCTTGAAATTTTTGTACTCTGATTTAAGCTCTTAGTTAATATTTATGAGCTGGTTGCATTGTGCACTGTATGCTACACCCCAAACTTGGAATGTGAAATATCTGTGGTTACTTGAACTTTTAAAATTGATATTTCATAATCAAGCTGTGAAAGCAAGAATGATGATAAAGTGAATCATAGGAAGTGTCTTATAAGGGTGTGGACAACATTGGAACAGGTGGTATGGTTGTTCTTTATACTAACGGTGATGAAATTTCATGTCCCATGACAAAGGGAAATTAACAGAAATGTTAACTACGTACCAACAGCTCAGTAAATGCACAGATTTTAGGTCAGTATATTATGAGGATATGAACTGGCTTTAAGTTGGGCCAAATGACTGGCTTTTGTAGTTTTGAACCTTCAGATTTCATAACGGCAGAATTTATTGAAATTGTTCAATATCTAGTGGCGGTTCAGGAAGTTCACTGTACTAGGAAGTTTGTTAATTTGTTGGAGAGTCTGTTGTTTAGTGAGCTAGGTATTAGGCACGTTAATTGATAATTACCTGTTGTTACAGGCATGCCTATGTTACGCATATTATATGGTGGATATGCTCACTTGTCCACTATATCTTTACCTTTACTAGTGTATCACCCTACCCAGATCATAATGGGAGGACTGCTAGTAGCACATCTTCAAGACTGGATGAGATCTAGACGGCAATCTAGGTGAGTAGAATCTAATCTTCAGAAAGTCTGTGTCTGCCCTTTCATATTGAAAGATGTTTGTCACTTCTGAATTATGCAGCATAAAATGTGGAGTATTGAGGACATGGGGTAGATATTTTTAATGTGGTGGAAAGTTGTAAAATTAAAACCTGCAACCTGCTCTTTGTATCCACGTGGAATGAAATGCAGTTCATAGTGAATAATAGTATTGGATCACAAATGAAGACTTCGTTATTTCAAAATTGCAATGTACCAATCTTTGTAGTTCAAAATTTGTACACAGTACTTTTCTGTTTTGTAGGACAAGACTAGAAGCTTAAGACTGCATCATGGCTAGCTACTTATACTTCCAGATAATACTTCTCTTGAGGAGCCAATCTTCTTCTTGAAGTAAAATGACATGGCTATAAACCAATCTGTTCAGAGTGTAAGTAGAAGTGGAGGATCAGGGATACATCTGTTTTGTTAGTATGAGACTGTTTCATATGGTAGGTACATCCTGTATTTGTTCAAATATAAGATTAAATTTTTTTTGTTAGGTGGGTTCCTATTCTCACTATACTGGAGTACTTATATAAACATAGGCATGCATGTATGTATATATACATACTACATGCATGTATCCTGCAGTACTACAATATGCCAAGATTCTACTATTGACAGGGCATGTGTTAATATTTTAACCATCACACATATATCTAGGAACTTTAATATAGCCTTTTTTCTACTTAATGCATTTTCTGGTTGTTTTTTCTCTGTAACATAATTAGGTAACTATTTTTGTTAATTCAGCATAATATCATGTAAATGCAATAAAGGTAAGACGAGAATTCATTCTGAGGTTTAACTGAGAGGCATTAATGCTCCTGTGTTAGGTACTGTTGTCTCATGTTTGATGAAATGTCCGTCTTAGTAGACTTGTGTTTTAACCAGGCATTTGTATTAAGGGTTTTAAGGATCTTGGAAGACAACATTGCAAATCATAATTTAATTTTCATGGCCCATAGCCTGTGTAGAAAGTGGAAGCAACCAGTTGCTTATTACTTGCATATGGAATCCCTAAAGCAGAGATGACAGCATTTTTTGAGTGCGATTTTTGACACCTGTCAGAATGGTGGATGGCAGGTGGTTGCCACTGTCTGTGACATGGGTGCCAACAGTGTCAAGGCTTTGAAACTGTTGGAAACGTCCTTCAGCAGTTTATCTTTACAGAATTACTCCACAATTGACCTTTAACTCTCTCTCTCTCTCTTTGTGTGTGTGTGGGTAAAAACTGGCATTACTTTTCAGTTTACTGTTCAAATGTTCAGGTTATCCACTTCAGCCAACATAATAGGGGTGAGGTAACTAATTCTTTCAGTAAAATAAATAAATCAGTGGCATAACAGCTCCAGAGAGCCAAAGCCGACTAGCTTGACTGCTGGCCTCACGTTCACATGCCTAAGCAGAGGTGAACGATCATCCAACCAGATATAGGGTGACGTGTGTTCAGCACGACGAACACCCAGCCATTGCTAGTTTCCATGACCGGATTACGCTACTCATTGTAGCTCCCCAATTTCCTCACGATGCTGGGTTGGCACTGGTCGAAAGCTCATGAGAAAATTTCTTCTCCCCTGAGACTCAAACCAGCGCGCATTCTGTGTCGCCGGTCTGAAGCATGGTGCCTCAGACCGCGCGGCTATGGCGCGGGACAATTCTTTCAGTAATAACTTAAATAATTTTGAACCATGTTTTCACTTTTAATGGTAGAGGGAGGATTTTTGAATAACTTGATTCATGTACTCGTATAGTAGCCTATATTTGTTTTTGATAACTAGTGAAATTAGCAGTCCTCATATGGAAGTCATTCTTATATTTTCTGTTTATGTTGTATACATCTGAATTTCTTAAAAATTATTCTGTGCTCACAGTGAATGATTAATAATGAGGATAAGTATTTACCTGCAAGAGGAAGTATTTCCATTTTTGTGAATAATTTTCCACACTAGATACTTCTTATGCAGGTATCATAATGATTTTTTATTGGATGTTAAATTCTTTTTACTCACTGTTGCAAATTCCAAGATTACTCCATACTTCATGATGAAGTGTATATAAGCAAAGTAAACTAATTTTATTTATTTTTGTGAGTCATGTTACTGCTCATAACAAAGTATGCTGAATTTGGTATGTGTTTAGTATAGTCATTGTGTGCTTTCCATTTTAAGTTATCAGTTTGTGGGCAGGGAAATTTGGTTGTTCACACTACTTCAATTGTTTTATTATCATAATCTATCTTTAGCTTAACTCATGTTTTGTTGATAACAAATTTTATGATGTGAAAATGTTAATCATATTTTTTTGTTAACTTTTCATTATGTTTCCTATAACATACATGCACTGAAATGACTGAAAAACCATGTGATCTGTGCAATAATATTCTGTTAGGTGATTTTCAATCACAAATTTCAGTAAAGTGAACCCATGTATTATTCTTTTCTCTTATATGTTATATGGTTATTGCTGACATAATACTGATTATGTGAACATATCTAAATTTCAGATTCATAATATTCATGCAGTGAACCACATCAGTGATGGTTATTTTTGGCTTGGGTCATTGAAATGTAATGGTCATGCTGTGAACTTGGATGTTTATTTTGGATTTGTGTTGTTGTAGCTGCCTGACAAGAGTATGGAGGTTTCATATACTTCATAACAGTTTTCAATTTTGTAAAGCTTTATTTCTTAGGTTGCAGAGTTATTTAACATCATCAGATTACGTGGAGATGCTTCAAGCATAGTACTTGCATTTAGTGTTAGAAATTCTTTGGTTTACTAACATTTTTTTATCTTCAGTAAATATGTGAATGATATCTGGAAATTTTAGCATGTTACATATAAACCTCAAATCCTACATGTTACATATAATTTAAAATAAATTAAAGTAACTCAAAAGTAATGTTTTATGTGACTCTCAAGTATAAGTTGTGAACTTAAGTTATAAGGTTGAATATTAATGAATATCTGTAATGGAAACAATTTTTCATTCAATTTTATCCAGCTTTCGAAAATGCTTGAGAATAATAAGGTTGTGTGCCCATGATATGGTTTATTTGTAAAGTTGTCTAGTACTTTTCAATAAGGGTGACTGTTTAGATGACATTTATGCCTTATAAAGGATCTACTGAGAAACTTCCACTGTTTACACACTTTTATTTTTAAAAATAGAATAAGTTTCTGTGCAGTACCAAGGCCAAGGTTTGTAAAACTGAGATATCAGGTTCACATCACAGTGAATATGGAGTTGACTGTTGTGTGGTATATTGGAGCATGTAAGCTAGTAGAAACTAATATTTCAGGGGTGCTTCATTCCACCATCATCAGGGCATCAACATGAAATGTAGTTTAGTCTCAACCAGACTACATGGCACAATCTCTCAGAAGACAACCATCTTTGGGTTTGTAAAATTGATCATTCCCAAGATGTGGGTGTGTGGAGGATTTGATAAGTTGGGCGGTAGGTAACGTCATTATCGACTGAGCTCTTAACAGTTTAGATATATACATCTTATGTCTCCAATTAAATTTTTCATATACTTGTTCAGTACGATATATACGTGACGTCGTACGCCGCCTATGGTTTGAACTTTTAGCTTTGAGTTACGGTCGTGATGTTGGTATTATGTGGGTTGGTTTTCCTGGGCCATGACTACGCAGACTAAGTGTTGTTGAGCATATAAGCATGGCGGCCGTTGCGTTTAAAGATGTTAGTAGTTATTTATCCAAACAGAGCGAGGAATCCGATAAGGAGTTGGCAGGAGAATGGGCCCAGTTGGAAGAACTGCATAACAAAAAGTGAGTGCAGAGCTAATAATTATTACGTACTTTTGTAATATTTCTTGCTTGCCGTACCTATTGTCAGTACAAACGAATCGAGTTTCTGATATGTACACTAAGGCCGAATTTGTAGACTTTCTTGACGTATTTGAAATATATCTGAGTTTTTTACGCCCTGTTCTTTCCGGCAACATCTTTTCCGTGATTGGCATAAATTTTTCGTTGTGAGCTTGTTGACGTCTGTAGCGTGCAGAAAATCTGCAAAAAACAACTGATGAGACTTTATATCACCTCGCCATGTGTTCTGTTTCAAGTGTATTTTTGAATTATATGTATGCAATGACGTCATGAAACAACCAAGAATTGTTTGAACTCCTGTCGTTTTCCTAGAATTTCCACATTGGGATCCTTGATTTTTGAGGTTGGAAATTGCTTCCTTCAGTTAAATAAATATATTTTATTTCACGCCTTTCCATAGTTTATAAACTTTGTAAAACTTTAGACAGTATGCCAGTAGATTAATTTTGCTTGTCCATTTGTATTTCCAGGCTAGTCTGAAATCATGAATTTTTTCAGTGATAATTGCGTGCAAGTAGTTGTTTCCATATGATCACCAGTTATTGTTGGTTAGAAATCAGGTGTGTCTGTATAATACGTGGAGGAAATTTGTTTAAGTTACAACACAGTGTGTTTTCCTGCCAAATTACACTTCTGACACATCCTGACTACAGGCTGAAACTGTATGAATCATTGCCAGGCAGTACAATATTTTTCTGATACCAGTCAAGTATAGCTCAATCAAAACATTAAAGTAAACTTACCTGTGTTACAAGAGGTGCTGAAAATGTCTCTTACACTTTCCCTTTTCCATATAAATAGAATAAAGAGGTTTAAATAAAAATGTAATAGATTAAATGTGGGTTAATATGACTCCACTACCAATTGTTTTTATGAAAATGAAACTGTGTTTCATAACAGTCAAATAAGGGTCAACTTCACTGTCATGAAGTGACTGCAAAAACCAGTTGGAGGTGTTAATTCTGCTGGCTGGGACATGTTGCTGTGAAGTGTGAACTACAATCACCATGTACACCTAAAGTCCATCTACATAACAATTCTGATGACAGTTTCAATGTTTGTTAAGAATGTACTACTTGTAGGATTTTATTTTTTATGGCAGTGAGTCTGAAGATGGCTGTCTTCTGGGTTGTTGCAGCATGTAATCTGGTAGAAGTGTACTGACGTTTCATAGGTCCATGTTGCCACCATCATCGGGGCAATGATGGAGGGAGCAAGGAATTTTAAATGTGTGATGTCTCAACACTACTTTCCATGTGTAATGCAGTGTATATTTGTCTGACTTTTGTACTGTATATGATAAGTAAATGATATGGCAGAAGGTAATTCACCAGATGTCTTTATGGTGGTCAGGATCAAATTGTGTATTTGTTTACATCGCTGGCTTTTGGATAGAAGAAAAATGCATGTATTACATAAACCAAAAACATTGCTTGAGACAGCAGGCTTTGAAGTATTTGATCATTCATCAGCCTTTTTGATGAGCACTTTGTACACTTAAAATTGAACTGAATTTACATAAATCTTTAAATTGAGAAACCTGATACTAGTGCAGTATATTATTCTGTATTTGTTTGAATATTGGGATTTGTGAGCATGTGATATTTAAACCAAGACATGTGAAGTGACTGAAGAGTTCAGTCTGTATCAAGTGCCTCTTTTTTATTGTATTTTTATATTTTGTCTTCCCGTCTGATTTCTAAGAACCTGAAAATTAAAGTATACAAAACAATAATCTTGCCTGTTGTTTTGTATAGGTGCGAAACATGGTCTCTCACTCAGAGGGAGGAACACAGATTGCAGGTGTTTCAGAACAGAGTGTTGAGGAGGATATTTGGGCCTAAGAGAGAAGACAATGGGGCGTGGAGAAAACTGCATAATGATGAGCATAAAAATCTGTACTCCTCCTCCAGTATTGTCAGGGTGATTAAGTCGAGAAGAATGAGATGGGCTGGGCATGTAG